GAGCAAAGGAAGAAAATAATAACCTTCATATCACAAAAATGAAAAACTTTAACTTTTGTTCTTCTAAAGACTCCATCAAGCAAGTTAAAAACAGCATAGCAGATGGGAAATTCTTTCCCAATCATGTATTTGATAAAGGTCTTCTGTCTGAATTGTTATGAGCACATACAGCTCTGAAATGAAAAAACAAAATAACTTTAAAATTATATAAGCATATTAAGAGGCATTTCTCTGAGGAAGACACACAAACAGACACCACATAAATAAGTTGCTCAACATTGCTAGTCATAAATGAACTGAAGATCAAAATTATAATGACAGATCCAGAAAGTTAGGCTGTGAGAATTGTCAGCAGGCTGGGACTAGAGCTGGTAGAATGCTGGCCTAGGATGCACAGAGCTCTGAGTTCAGTTCCTAGCACAGGACCATGATGGCGTCCATCTCCAACTCCAGCACTTAGGAGGTCTGGTCAGAAAAACTAGAGATTCAAGATCAAAGCTTGACTGGGATATAGGAGACCCTGACTCCAAAATCTATTATCCATGGAGGAAAAAAACTTCACATGTTCTAGTAGGATGCAAACTGGTGAGGCTGCTTTGGTGAAAAACCTGATGACTCTTCAAATAAATAAGCATAGAATTTATCATTAAGAAGTATCTTAGAATTTACACACACACACATATGTATTTATATCTGTATGAGAAATCTACAAAAATTGAAAATAAATAAATAATGATGGCTAGAATGGAGAAACAGGGAAGTGTAAAAAAATCTATAAAAGTTCATGATTGCTTTTATCTGTGAATATATGAAAAAAAGCAATTAAATTATACATCTTAACTCACTGAGTTGAATGGTATATGGATTATGTATCAATAAAGCCACTCTCTAAAATAAAAATCTGAATACTGAGGGAACTCAAGGAAGACAAAAATCAATCATTTTATTAACTATGGTGCTGAGGACAGACCAAGTAAACCTCAGAGGAAGTGAGTTCTGAGGCATGTCTTCAAAAGTAGGTGAGTGCCTAATCTTTTTATAGTTTTCATTAATATAGAATTATGTATATTATCTTTTTGCATACAGCCAAGACTTGAGCCCTGATGATGGTACAGTCTTCCTGGCCTTAGTCACTGATTTATAATACTGGTATGAACTAAATATAAAAAGAAATATACATAGGTAAATATATTACTCAAATTATGCTTCATAGTTATTAATTATAACTGCTTTAAAAATTGAAAGAAACTAGACATTTCACTGTGCATCTCTCTCAAAATTCTTTCAAATCTTTTTGCATCATTCGTTAAATCTTTCATGAATGATCCGTCTATATTCTTAGACAAATAAAGAAAATAATAATAGAATCACCAATTACTGTGTATCTGTAATATATTTAAAAATAATGTTTATTACTAATAAGTATAAAATACCATATTTTACATTAACAACTCGTATTGGGTATCCAAATAATCAGCACTAAATAACAGACAATGCCCTTGAGTAACTAAAAACCAAAGCGTATCTGCCTAAATCAGGACACTTTTGATATTTTAGGGTTCTGTTTTTCCTATATCCACTCAGAATATTTATCCACAAGGACAGCACACTATCTACAGTTTATATCACCTTACACAACAGGAAAACTGCCAAGTTAATGGTCGCTGGTTGATAATTAACTATTAATTATCCATTTTTCACTTAGTAGTGCATTTGATTCTACAATTAATGCGTACTAATATTTGGTTAGTATAGAAAAGATACTGATGGATGCTGGAGAAATACCGGTACATAACACAAATTTAATAGCTATAGTTTAATAAACAAAAGCAGCAAGTAAGTGGGGAGTTATTATGAGTCATTGAGAGTATTTGAGAGAAGTAAGGACTTCAGAGGAGACAATGAGTTGAGTCACAAGACTGTGGCTATGTTCTTGTGAAACTGGAGAGTGTATATGCATTTGAATGTCTCTCTCTCCGTGTATATGTGTCTGTGTATATATGTCTAAAGTATATATGTACTTTAGACAGAAGATGCAATTCATTTTGTTGAAAAATAAGTCTCTAAAATCAGTACCATGAAGGAAACAGTCTACCCAGAGAACTTTCTCTTCTCTTATCCTCAAAGTAAAGCAAAAAGATGTTGATGCATTAAGTCATAACCTCCACAAGGGTCACAGGAAAATCTTTGTCCCTTTTTCCTGGAAACAATTTTATCTTTCTCATGAGGTATTTTCCAGTTAAGTAACCTGTAACGCATCCCTCAGAGTGGTGAATAAACCTGCCCGAGACTTCCCTTTCCCTAGAGTACTGTCTATCCAAGGCAAATCGGGAAACTGTCCCATTTTGCTGCAAACCTCACCAAGAACACGCCAATTCAATTTGGCAAGCTCAAAATGGCAAACACAATTTGGAATACACAAGCACCCCATACCTTGGATGCTCCTAACATCAGAGCAGAATTCCCAAGAGTTTTGAAGTTCAGCCAGTCAAAGCAAATGTCTGCAAATCCTCTCGATAGAAAGCAGGCACCCCATCGCTGTTATATTTAGCTGCAGAGTCACTGTTGGGCCTGTGTATCAATCATCTTGTAGAATAAATACCTACCACCTTACAATGCATTAAGATACAGCAACACATTAGTTTGTGGAATAAAGTCTGTCCTAAGGAAAACGACTGTTGTCTTGTCCGAGGTGGAAATAAAATTATAGTATGTAAACAGTGCCATGAGAGTAGTCAGAAAGCATTAGCTAGTGGACTGATGATTAGAGAACAACCCTTTCATCTGAGTCCCAGGGCTATTATCTAGAATGCAGGTTTTACATTAAGTCTAATGTCCTTTCTCACGGCGAGAAATGCTATCGTGGGCTTTGCTGCAGCTACTTGGTAATAGTAAGAAGAACTGAAGTGTCCTTGTTGTTTTATCCTGGCTTCTGCTCTACCTGTCTTTCCCTGGAAGCCTTTGTCCTTACATCTGTCCCACTTTGGTATAACTTCAGGCTTCAAGTTTGTTCTTCAAGGGGACAGTGAGTGGAGAAAGACAAAGCCTGGATCATTCCCCATTCGGTGGGGAAATGAAAACTTTCCTGGACTGTCACCCGTGTTTCTGTTGAAAGCTGTTTGGTTGAAGCACTGCTACTTGGTCATTCCTAGTTATAGAGAGTAATAAAATGAAGGATGTCACTTTGGTCTTAAGAAGTAGGAAAGGATGAAGGGAGATTAAGCATTAACAACTCCAGGATTAGGTATCCATGGACCACGCATAGCATTCAGCTCCATTAGGTTGTTGGGTTTTTTAATTAGACTACCTTAATTTTAGTTACAAATTATAATTTTGATAGACTAGATCTTGTTCATGGCAGACATAAAGAGTGTTACTAATTTTAAGAGACATAGTATTAACTATTACTGCTCACTGTTCTGAACTTGTTGCTTTTTTTAAAGAGAGTACTCAGCACTGAGGTTTTTCAAACTTTCTACTAATGCATCTATTTCATACTTTCTTTTAATACCTACTTTTGCATTCTAATTCTCTTCTTTTAATTATTTTGTTCTTGCTTTCAGGTTTGTTTGTCTTTAAGACAGGGTCTCTTATATCTCAGGCTCACTGTGTGGCTAAGAATGACCTTAAACTCCTGATCCCCTGCCTCCATTTCCCAAACTCCAGGACTGAATGAGGGCATCGCTATTACAGTTTGTCTTTTCAATTTATAATGGAAAATTTTAAACAAATACAAATTCTAAAACATATTTTTCAATATATGCCCCAGCATGTATCACCTGCAGTAATAACTATTTGATGATTCTGTTTCTTTCATTCCCACTTTTTCCAATGGGCTATTTTCAGAAAATTGATTTCCTTTTCAATGGCTATAATGTTATTCCTGTGTGCCTCCATTTTGTTATTACCTTCAAACAAGAGAATCTAAAAAAGTTTTAACACAACTAAAAAAAATACTAATAGAAAATCATTAATACATTCTATTTTCAGGATTTTGGCATCTTATAGGAGAGTAACAACAAATTGAAACAAAAAAGGAGAGGTCATAGAAGGAGTTTGAAGGAGAGGCAATGTAACTGAATTCCAAGCAAAGGAAAAGAATGAACTTGAGATCTTAGAAACAAGGGGGTATAACTCAACGTTTGAAAACAAAATCCAAAATGTAAAAATCTAAATTGCAAATAATCAAAGAATAAACAAAACTGGAAGGCTTAGTCTACATGCCACTAAAAGGACACTCCCTACTCTTCAGGACAAGGTTTATTCCCTGCTTAAGGATTAAGCCAGTTATAAATCACAGAAACTTTTATATTGACAATGAACAAGCTTAACAATTCTTATCCACTTAAGTGTATGTTTTTAAGAGCAAAAAAGCATTTTATAAATCTCATTTTCTCAATCAAGTGTTACCAGCTTAATAGGACTGCCACAATAGCCTAATACAACACTGTTTAAATAAGAACTTGTCAGAGAGATTTTGACAACTTTGACCTTCTGCTACCTTTTTCCTTTAAGGCGAGTCACTCAGAGGGTTAAGAATCTTTTCCAGTTGAAGAAATATCTCATATAGATCCATTAATTCATATGCAGTAGGGTGGAGGGCAATGTCCATTAGGACACTCACTCATTCATTCACTCAGTGTCTCTCGGGTCCCATTAGCATATTATTATTAAGCCTCTAAGAATGAAGAGTCTGGTAAGAAACCAGAGTTAAACAAGCTCACATCCTGCAAGTTTTGTGTGTGAATCAGGTGAAAATTGATTATATGCCAAAATCTGGAGAATAAGACTGCCAATCTAGAGTGTATTTGTAAGAGTGTGTAGTGGCAGGATTGTGGGTGGGAAACGGGCTGGCTGGAAGGATGTCTATATGTGTATTTTTATCACCCATGTGTTGGATGAGGCTGAGAGCTGCCAGATAGCTTTTCGACAGCTTGGAGTTACTGTTGGGAACAGGTCCATGTATGGAAGTGAAAGCCGAAAGGCACAGATAAGCTGGGAGCCAGCTATGCAGCCACGCTTAGAGACACTAAGGACAAGCATCCCAAGTCCTTTCTTTCTGGTCAATCTGGAGCAGTCATCAGAGCTGGTGGATTTTGCATACAGCCCATGCAGACAGAGAAGGCTTGACGAAGGTAGGTGCAAACCTTTTATGAATTTATAAACGAGATGATATGCTGTTATTCCCGCCTGAGCCCTTGATATTCTTGAGTGATGGTGTCAAAACTTTTGGAAAAAAAATATAGAGATTGAAATTTGGTTGAGGTTGATGACTGATGTATTTAACAATAGTCCTTCACCAGGAAGGACAGTTTACCTACCAATGGGATGTGACAACACAGATTGGCTAGCAAATTGAACCTCTTTTTTTTCCGGTCACTCACCATTCAGGCTTGTGTAAACATGGTTCTTCCTTGATTTTTCCAGCAAGTTTTGGAATGGGCTAAAACATCTCATGAGGCTCTGATACACTGTGTGGTTTAGGGTAGGGTAGGTGGGATGTGTCATTTTTCTTGCATGTTCTTTGGAAGCTAGCAAAAGCTCACGTGTGTGGCTAGCTCCTCTTAGATTCACAAGAGAAGGTTGGTAAAAAGATATTAATATTTTTAGCAGCTGAAGTCAGTTTTGCTGTTTCGTGGAAGCTCAGAGACTGATCACATCCTGTTCAAAGATTTTGTGGGTTTTTTTTTCTTTATAAACATGTCCTGTGTAAATTGAAGTAGCTAAAACTAGTTTTATGTCCTTGATTTTTCTGAGTACTTTTGGCAATTTTTTTCTTCTCTCTTTCTTTTTGAGGTCCAAAAACTTAAGGACTAGAAAGGAAATACCTCTATATATTATCATTATTTTTTCATTAGTTTTGTTTTGGAAATAGTGGGCTTCAAATCAGGAGTAAAAAATAGAAATAGGAAAGGCTTCAAATCAGGAGTAAAAAAAAAAAAAACCAAAGCATGGGCAGGAAGACAAGAGTAACAATACCAGTATCTATGAGACTCCTTTGTTTTCTGGAACACAGGTTAACCATCCAATCATTGCATTCTAAAATGACGTTTCAGATAATTACCAAATTGTAGTTACTAAATGAAGGTGTTCTATTAAAGTTAGGACTAGAGCAAAGTCTGTGTCTACAAAACACTCCTGAAAGTTAAGGGGGCAAAGTATGGGCTATACTTGAAAAAAAAAACAAAACATGTTTTTTGCCAAGATTAAACTAAAGTAATTCATACAAAGATTGATGAAATCAGACTTGGAATTTACCTTGTTAAGGGAAATGTGTGCATGATTAAAGTCAGATTTGAACTAACTCCCTCATTAGGTTTAGTTTTCAATTATGTGACATAACATGTTTGGAAAAAGGAGAAATATTTAGTGTGATTTTTTTCTTCTCTGATGATAATTATGACAAGGGAAATAATGAATAAATAAGTGTGGTTTACAATGCTGAGCATGGAGTTGTTCTCTGGATACATTAGATTTCTGGGGGGAAAGTTAGACAAACATAGCAGAAGTGTGCAAAGTACTTTCTAAGCTGTGTGTGCTCTGCTTCACTTAAACAAACAAAAAAGACAGAAAAGGGGAAGATACACTTCTGTTTCAATAACACAATACCATTACCATGATACTCACAAAACTAGAAGATGGATTTTACATTGAACTATTACTTAATCTACCCATTTACATTGGTAATATATTCAATTTATAACACAGTACAGTATATTTCTACTTCACTAAAAATGCTAATATTCTGAAAGAGAGAAAAGAGAGGAGAGAGAAAAAAGAAGAGTAGAGGAGGAGAGCAGAAAGGGGAGGGAGGGAAGAGGGAGGGGTAATGAGAGCGATTGTAAATTCTTTATTCTAAACTAACAGAGCAAAGCTGTCATAACTTTAGCTAAAGTGGAACAGGCCTAGAAAAGTACAAAAGAGTGACTCTAAACTACTTAATTAAACATTGCATACCAGCCGGCTTCACCAAAGCTAAGACACAGCAGGAGCATCCGCAGTTCTCACTATGTAAAATGTTCATAGAAAGGATACCACCAGGATTTGTGAGCAGATGCAACGCATACATGTCGTTGGCTACTTTTCTCTCATTTGCATACTGCCAAGTACATTTCAAATTTGTACTCCTCATGTGAAATGTCTACTCTTGGTTCTATGCGTTTCTTTTGTGCTTTTTGTTTGTTTTTCCCCTCTAACAAATAAATTCAATAAATTAATACAAGTAATATAAATAATGGCTGCTATTCTTATGTATAGTAGATTAACATTTATGGATAAAATTAATGACAGCAAAATTCTTATCCTACTTCTTTATGACTTCTTTTTAAAATATACATTATTATATATGGATTATTCTTTGAAGTTTCATACATTTGTAGCATTTAGGCTGGTCATCTCCACATGCAGCTACTTCCCTCCAACTTCACCTAAGGTGCCCAAGACATCTCCCCCTCAGGGTGATGCTCAACCCAAGAGAAAAATTCAGTTAGAGTACTCCGGTTGCCTATTTGCAAACTTGACTAGAGCTAAAGTCATCTAACAGGAACCTCAATTGAGAAAATATCTTCATCGGATTGTCTTTTGGCAACTCTGTAGTGCATTTTCTTGAGCAAGCGTGGGGGAACAAGTCAGTAAGCAGTGTTCCTCCATGACTTCTCAGTTCCTGACTCCAGGCTCCTACCTTGAGGTCTTACCCTGATTTCACTAAATGATGAAATGTGGCCTGAGAGGTTTAAGATGAAATAAATCCTTTATTCCTCAAGTTCTCTTTTTTATCACGCCGTTTCATCCCAGCAGTAGAAGCCCTAATTCAAAGAGGATAATAGAACACAGGTGACTCATGACTTCCTAAACTTGGAGACGTGACTATGCATGTAGAATATTGATTCTAAGATCTTGCTTTGGAAGAACTAAAATGTTCTGTGTGAGAATGGAATTGATTTAATGATGTAAGTTAGAGTAACCTGAAGTCTGAGGCCTGTTCATGGTGACTAAGTACAGAGAAATTTCAGCTTATGTTCAGAGAGCACACACACAGCTTTAATATTTCTGTCTCCATTTTAGAGCCACAGAGAGTACATTGTGCTCTCTTGTGATTTATTATGGTATAATGTTAGAAAGAGAAAGTGCTTCAGGAAGTTTGAAGGGAATAATATTCTTGTATATGAAAAGAGTTTGTAGGAGGAGAAGGGTAAGTACTTCCTTTTCTGGAAATATGAACAATTTGGTCCATAGGAAAGCTTATCCATTGGCTATTTTAAATAATAATAATAATAATAGTAATTATAATTATAAATAAAACCCCCCAAACAACTCTATTGGCTTAAGTGATTAGACTTGACACATTAGTTCCAGGCAGAACACCAAAAATCTCAAGAACATTAAAATAAATACAAAAAGCATAAGATTAGAGGAACAACCTACTGGGGATGAATTTGAAGACCAGAGACGTGTTTCTGCAGATCAATAAATGACAGTGGAAATTCCCTCGACTCCTGGGTCATAAGTGAGCTGCCCAGTGGTTAAAGTACATACTCTCTTGTGGACAGGTATTAGAAGAAAATTGTGCATCAGGACATTATTCAAGATATTGTTAAACTACACAAATAGTAAAAGGGAGACCAACTCAGGTAGCACTTACAATGATTAGTAAGAACTGTCTTTATTCCCCCACTTACTGCTCCTGACTGAATCCCAGTTCTCAACTCTGTCTGCACATTAGGGTCCTCAGAGGTGAGTCTCCACGGCCCCCTGATAAACTGAATGCCCTGCTGAGGACCAGACTAGGGTAGCTCAGTTTCTGAACCCACCCCAGAAAACTGCAGCATGTAGACAAGACTAAGAACCAGTTTCTCTTGCAATAAAAACATGATAGTCTAGTTCGTTGTAACAAGAGGAATGACATGTGTACAACTGAAGATTATAAAATAATAATAATAAAGGCTCGGGTTCCCAATAAATGTTTGAAAATCCCGATACTGGTGAGGTAGGGAGCTTGAGGACATTTCGGGCTACATAGTAATATACGAGAGAGGGAAGGAAGCATGGAGGCACAGACAGAGGGAGGGAGAAAAGATAACCGGTACAATCTTTGCTGATGAGAAGTTTCTGTTACACCTTCAGCAGATGTAAATAAAAGCTTTTCTATAAATGGAAATGATGAGGATATTTAAGACATTTCATATTCTTTAGCCCAAATCCTGTGTGAACTCTAGCCACAATTATTAAAAATATCAAACTACGCATATTGACGTTATGATTCTTAACTGTGACTGCTAAATGAAATTTCATTTCATTTAACAAACCTACACAAAGCCAACCTGAATGAGGATGTTACTTCTGATAGCAATAATTTTCAAAGCAGTGGGCAGATTCTCTTTAATGAAAGATTATGCCATTTTGCCTTTTATCTTTCTAATAGAGATCAAGAACTCTGGAGAGAGCGTATGTATAATTGTATGCAGAAACTATATTAATATTAATTTATCACAAAACAAAATACATCAAGATGTATAAATATAAACCTCACTTTAGGGCTGTACGTGTAGCTTGGTGGGTAAAGGGATTATAAGCGTGGAAGTTGGAGTTCAGTCTCCAAAACCTGCTTTTAGCTTCGTGTCACAGTGCCCTGCATGTGTAATGCCAGTATTAAGGAGATGGGGACAGGAAGAGCACAGGGCAGGTCTGAGAAGGAACAGTTGTCAGAATACTGAGGGCTAAGGGTGCTTCATGTCCAATTGTGTGAGCTTCAGCCTGGCTCTTTAGCATGTTGGTGACTATGTAATATGAACAGTGAGTTCAGTCACTATGATTCTCTACTTTCTGTGAAATCACAACCATCGTTGAAGGACAGGATGGCAAAATACAAACAGTTTCTTACAATAACCCATTGGTTATGATATCATTTTTAGAAATTGTTTGGGCTTCTCCCAAGTCTCATTCTTTTTCTGATCACTCAATGTGCTGAGAGGAGAGTGGGTACATTTCTAGGAGTGTATAAACGACTTCCTTAAGTTTCTGAAAAGACTCATCACACTGGGATGATTTGTCTTATGACTCTGGTCAATAAGACAAGAAGATTCAACATAAAGAGCTTTGAATTCTCCTTCTACTCTGAAGCCTACCAAGGTGGGCC